ACCACACCCAGTCTCAATTGCCATCTCAGCATGCCCTGGGGCGGGGCCCACATGGCAGGCCTAGAGATTGAACCCCCGGCCCCTGGGCCTAGTTGAAGGCGCTTTAATCCACTGAGCTATTTGGCCAGCCCTTAGAAAATTTAAATAAGAGAAAATAGTCTGAAGACAAAGCGTTGTTGGAGATAAACAGGGACATTTCATAATGACAGATAGGTTAGGATTAGGATTCAGATTAGAAAGGTATAACATTATAAATGTTTATGTACATAATAATAGAGCCTGAAAAGAAACAAGGCAAAATTTGAAGGCTTAAAGGGAGCATGATAATTCCACAATCAAACAGCCAAGGAAAATCAGTAAGGACACAGATGATCCAAACAGTACCATCAGCCACCCTGACTTAATTAATAATTATATTATAACATATCAAATAGGCATAAAATACACGTTTCAATAAACCATGCATTAGGTCATAAGACGAGTTTCAATAAATGTAAATAGACTGAAATTATACCAAGTACTGCATATTGTGTTACCAAAATGAGCAAGAAATCAATTATACTAAAATATTTCCAACTATTTTGGATTTGAACAACACAATCCTAAATAACCCATATATTAAAGAAGAGAGAGAAAACTGGTAGCTAGTGAAAATAAATAAAACGTATAAAAATGTGAGTACTACTGCTAAAAGAGTTCTTAGATCAATATTCACAGCTTTATATGATCATATTAGAAAAGAAGAAAAGTCAAAATCAATGGCCTGTGCATCACATTAACAAGCTAAATAAAGAAAAATAATTCCAGAGGAACTACAAGCATGGAAAATAAAAACATAAGATCAGATATCAACGAAGTAGAAAACAAGCAATAGAGAAAATTAACAATGCCAAATTTTGGTTCATGGAAAGGATCAATAACATTGAAAAATCTCTAGCTATACTGATCAAGAAAAAAAATGATTAAGATCAGGAATGAAAGGAATTATCATACGGATCAGAGGTGGGCAAACTAGTCAGCAGACCAAATCCTACTCAAGGCTTGTTTTTGTATTGCTCTGAGGTAAGAATGGATTTTACATTTCTTTTTTTAAAGGTTGTGCAAAAGAGAACTAGGGGAAGAAAAAACACAAACACAAGAACATGCAGCACACAGGCATCTGTGTCTCATGAAGCCTAAAATATTTACGGTCTGCCTTTTAGGGAGTAAGTTGGTTAAGTCTTGTTAAAACTCCAATAGCTGTTTTTTTTTTAATTTAAACATGAACCAAATACCAACAAGCTTGACAAGATAGATGAAATAAAATTTCAGAAAAATCAACTAACCAAAACATATACAAGATGAATTAGAAAAATAGAATGCCACTATATTCATTATGTAAATTGAATTACCTATCAAAGCTGTCCCATAAAAAATTCCAGACCCAGAGTATTTCCTAATGAACTCTATCAAGCATTTAATGAAGAAATAACACCAATGTTACACAAACTCTGAAAGTAGAAGTGGAACTATTTTCCAACTCATTTTTACAAGATTGGTCAAATTTTAATTAAGAAATTTCAAAAACAAAGAATATTGAAGACTAATGTTTCATGAACAGAAATGCAAAAATACTTAACAAAATATAACTATATCAAAAATAACAATATAAAAATTATAACATACCATTACCAATAGTTTCTTCCAGAAATATATGGTTATTTTAATTTAAAGTGAAATACAAGTGATTATTTTAAGAGATACAGAAATACCATTTGATGAAATTCAAGATTCATGACAGAATTTTTCAGCAAAGTAGAAACAGAAGGTACTTTCCAGAGTATGTTTCTGAAGTCCCCGCTACTCAAGAAGCTGAGGTAGGAGAATTGGTAAAGCCCAAGAGTTCAGGGCCAGCCTGGGCAACTTATTGAAAACCTCTTTTAAACAAAGCAATGGAAAAACAAACAAACAACAAAAATAAACAAGGTAACTTTCTCAAATTAAGATATCTTAAAAATAATATGGCTAATAATAGGAATAACAAATAGTAAATGCTTTTCATCCAAAATAAAGAATAAGACAAGAATGCCATCACTGTACTCTTGCTTGGTGGCCACTCTGTAAAGCAGCTAAGACAAGGGTAGGTTGAGTGGGCCCAGTGATTTTGGCCTTTAGTTTTAAGTGTAGATTATTTTCCAAATGGATCTTATTTTGGGAAAGAGAGGGTTGGAAAATCAAATGTAAAGCTATTCCATTTGCAACAGCATCAAAAAATAAAATAAAATAATTGGGAATAAATTTATCAAAATATATACAAAACTTCTCCAACTGCGAAACATCACTGAGAGAAGTAAACAGACACAAATAAATGTTATTGGAGTAGAAGACTCAGTATTGCTAAGAAAGAAATTCTCCCAAAAGTGGTCAGTAACTTCAATCCTGATCATAATCTCAGCAAATGTATCGCACAAATTGATAAGAATATGTAAAAATTATATGGAGATACAAAAAGCCTACAATAGCTGAAGTAATTTTTTAATTAAAATTTATTTATTTATTTATTTATTTATTATCTATTTGGTACAGGGCCTTGTTTTACAGCTTGGAATCGTAGTGATCCTCCTGTCGCAGCCTCCCCAGAGCTGGGATTACAAGCATGTGCCACCACACCCCATTTTGGTGGCCGGCGTGGCGCACCCTGGATTCCAGGGCCAGAATGGCATGTGATACCGGGAATTGAACATGAGTCCTTGAGCTTGCTAGACAGGCGCTTAGATCACAACCCCAGCCCAGCTGAAGTGATCTTGAAAAAGAGTAAGCTGAAAGGCTCAAACTAACTTCAGCACCAAGACATTGTACTAATTGAAAGAGGAATCTACAAAAATTAAACAGAACAGCACAGAAATCTTAGAAACAGACATATATTATACAACTAATTTAAGATTTAAAGTTCATTACTACTCAATTATCAATGGTACCAAAGCAAGATAACATAAAAGGAAAGATCTTCAATATATGGTTCTGGAAAATCTAGAAATTCACATGCAACAAAACGACCTCCAACATCCACCTTGTTAGCATACACAATTATTTTAATTAATTAGGAGTACAATGCTAAACATAAAAGAATTTTTCAACCAAAGAGCTAAAACCAAATAGCTTTTACAGGAGAGCATAGGGGAATAGCTTAATGTTTTGCTGGTAGACAAAGGTTTTTCCAGAGAAGCCCTATATGATTATTGATAAGAGAAAAAACATAAATAGATCTCAGGAAATCTTAAATCTTCAGCTTATCAAAAATACCACTGAGAAAATGAATAGCCAAACTACAAAGAAAAGACATTTAAAACATGCATCTGATAAATGACTTGCATCTAGAATATATAAAGAATGTTTACAACTCAGTAGGAAGAAAACAAACCAATTCCAAAAGGAATAAGGATTTTTAGCAGATGATTCACTCAAGAAGATAAATCAATGGCTAATACCAACACAAAAAATTATTCCACATCATTAGCCACTTTAGGAGACGACATGGTGGTTTCTTATAAAATATATTGCATGAGACAGCCATCCCGGGTCTGGGTATTTGTCCAAGACATACAAAAAGGTATATCTGCATGATACTTTGGCCCAAATGTTTGTAACGTTATTTGTAATAGCCAAAAATGGAAAGCAAACTTAAATGTCCATGAACAGGAGAATAACATAGACACAATATGTGATGAATGGAATATTATTCAGCAACAAAAAGGAACAAGCTATGAAAACAAAAGGATGTGTACAAAAGAAACCATAATGCTACATAAAAGCAGCATTACACAAGACAGTAAGTCTTGTGTAGTCTATTTGTATAAAGTTCTAGAAGATGGAAACAGATATGATGGCAAATAGCAAAAGCATGGTGGCCCTGGGGGCTGTAGTTTCAGGGACTGCCTGAGGGAGCTGGGGGCGTTTTCAGGGGTAGTAGAGATGTTCCATAGCTTGATAAAGTGCGGGATTATGAAGATGTATGCATTTGACAAAACTCAAAAAGCATTCACTTAGGATTTGAACCCTTTCCCATATGTAAATTTTATATTTTTTTAATTGTGAGCAGACTCTGTAAAATACATACTGTGAATAGTACCATGGGGAAATAGGAAGGGAATGTTCAAATGGGAATGAGAACTAGGGAGGGGGATGGGGAAAGGAAAGAAGAGAAAAGAAAAAGTGAGGAAAGAAGGATAAAGTGGAAAAAAATCTTGTGAATAAGGAGGGGAAGGGAGGTCAAAGGGAAGAGAGGGAAATGGGGAAGCGAGACCAATTATATGATGCCCACGATGAATATGATCACTGTGTACATCCAAAACGTACCAATAAACCTCATTAAATAAAAAGACGCTGGACCCATAAATGGAGCAATGTTACTTTATTGGCCTATGATCTGCTAAATACTGAGGTAGCGTGATGCGTTAGAAAATTTTTCTTTTTATAATTAATATATAGTAACTGTACAGGCTTAGAAGAAACAATACAATTTGAAAGTGTTTAATAACCAAATCAGGATCATTATCATATCCATCTCCTCAGCTATTTATCATTTGTTTGTGCTAAACATTCTTAGCTACAGCTTTAAATCCAGCCAAAGATAGGTTTGCACTCTGGCTTGTCCATTAGGCAGTGTGTCCCTGGACAAACAACTTCTCTGTTTCCTTATCCGTGCAAAGGAGAGAGCAGCACAAAGCTCAACATATAATAAGTGCTCCAGGTGACAGCAAATAATAAACTGACATATGAAATTCTTTCAGGTCGCAAGGCCAAATGGGGCATGGTTGCATGTCTTGTGGCCACCGTTCCAATCAAGATGTTTGCCTGCTAAGAGTTACATGACTCTTCCCTGGGCCACTTGCATTTTTCTGAGGTCCCTGAGGATGAGTGCCCCTAAGAGTGCCCTCTGGCCCTCCCACAAGCACGTCAGTGAGTCAGTAAGGACTGTGAAGCGCTTGGTGGGTTGGCTCCCCTTTCAGATCTACACTCACCTCAGGGGTTGTGCCATCCTTGTAGGAGCGAATGCTGAAGGCCATGCCTTGAAAACCATGGCCCACCCGCAGCACAGCCAAAGCCAGCCCAGACACCGTGACATTTGCTGTCCTTCCAGAAAACTCCATCTTGTGGCCAGCACGCTCAATTATCTTCAGAATTCTGCCAGAAAGCACAGATGAAGAAGAGGCTATTTTGTTCCTGTAAAGCCCATCTTCCTGATAGGGTTTCTTAGCTGGAAGACTTCACGTTTCGTCTTAATCCCCTTCTTTTTATAGTTTAGGAATCACTCAATCAGACCCCTAGAAGGAGACAGGTGTATGTCTAAGTCTTAACTCCTCTCATTTCTAAATGTGGGAAAATACAGTGGCCTCCCTAAGCCTCAGTTTCCTCACCTGCAAAGTGGAAAGTAATAGTGGCACACATCTCAAAAAATGGTTTTGAAGATTAAATAAAATTGTAGCTTGGAGGGGCTGGAGAGATAGCTCAGCGGTCTAAAGCGCCTGCATAGGCAAGCTTAGGCAGGCACAGGGGAATGTGGTTTGATCCCCGACATCGCATGCTGCACCAGCCCTGTCCTTGGGGGGGTGCTGAGCTGGCCCCCAAAAAATGTAGTTTGGAAAGACAGATCCTTCAGGGCTTCATAGGTTTTATAAGAAATTCTGAGACTGGGCCTGTCATCCCAGCACTCAGAGAGACTACAGTACGAAGATTGCAAATTTGAGTTCAGCCTAGGCAATTTAGAAGTTTAGGGACACTCTGTCAGAAAATAAAGACAAAAAAGGAGCTGGGGATGTATGTAGCTTAGTGCACAGGCCTTGAGCTCAGTCACCAATACCCCCCCCAAAAAAGTTCTGATTTTACTAGAATGGAATGCCACCTATGTTTTTAACAGCCAGGGAATGCCATGGTCTTATAGATGCATGAAGAGAACACTCTGGCCGCTATGTAGAATATGAACAATAGAGGAGCAAGAGTAGAGGCAGAGATATCAGATAGGAGGTCATTGAAGGTGGCCAGGGGAGAAAAATGAGGCTGGAACTTCGGGGGTAGAGACAGAGAACAATAGATAGATTCCACTGGAATAGTTAAGAGAGTTTCAAACATGCGTACAGGGCTTCCTACAAAGGTGGTTGTTGACTGGCTATGAGGTAGAGAGGGGTAACTAGTATGATTGCTAAGGTTTGGCATTAGCACTGCTCAGGTCCATTTTATAGAAATGCAGAACTCTAGGGAGCACCATGGTTGGGGAAACAGATTGCAGATTTGGCTTGCCATAACTATTGCTCTGCAAATTTATTCTCACTGGGATACAATTCAAGTGTTGTTTCATGATAGGGATTGGAGTGAAATGATCCCATGAGACTATACAGTAATATGCAACTTTAATATTATGACATAGTTTCTTTTACCAGTACTTACACATTGCTTACTTGATGCAGATGGGAGGTGGAATCGTTTTGCTTTTCTGAAACAGCAGTGATTATTTGTAATATAATCTGGGTTAAGTTCATACTTATCTCATCACACTTTGAAATCTCAGCTATTTTAGACACAATAATCCTGGTCTCCTCTTCATCCAGAGGTGGAGATTCATTTATCAAATTTAAAATGTGCTCTGCAACATCATCTGCATTCTCTAGGGAAACAAAGTAGAAATGTTCAAGTTCTGTCACTGTCCCTAATGTGGGGCCATGCTGGTCTGCTTCCTTCCCTTTAAAAACTAAATGGTATGAAATGGAAATACATATCAAGATAACACAGTTTACAGAAGGAAAACTTCGGACCTCAACTTCTACAGTACATGTAGTCGCAGAAGGTAGCTCTAACTCAAATTTTTAGTCATTAAACCCTTTTAAAAATACACCAGGGAAATCTTTTTGTCACTGAAGAATTACCTTGAAATTTGATTCTAATTAAGTTAAGGCTGTTGAGTATTGGATTGAGTTAAGTAGATTCCACATGTCCTCAAATATCAGCAAACATACAGCCCATGTTTTCACAATGAAGAGGCATGATTATAATTCTCTGTCAAGAACCACCAACCCACAGGAAAAAGCAAATATGGACTACATAATAAAAAGCAATTAATTTAGATGTTCTAGACAGTAAGAACAATAGACATTAACTCGCCCACTTTTTTCTTCAGTTTTTATTATGGAAATTTTCCAGAATCCACAAAAATAGAAAGAATAGTATAATGAACCCGGTGTAGCTCATGAGTCACTGAACTTCAACCAGTGTCAATAAAAGGCTAATCTTACCTTCTCTGTCACCCACCTTCGCCCTATCCCCAAATTATCAGAAAGCAAATCCCAGACGTATTATTTTATCTATAAATATATTACTACTAACTTTGAAAGAAAGGACTTAATCTTAACCACAATGCTAATTAAATTAAAATGAAGGTGAAAAACTGGTATAGTATACATAAATATGAAATATTCAGTCTTTAATTGTCCCATAAATGCCTTTTAAATAATTGGCTTAACCTCTATGTTTAAAGAGTCTTGTTAAACAATTACTATACAAATTAGATTTTCGTTCAGTGTAACTCATATAATGCTTAGCTTCCTTGTGGTGTTTTTCTACTTAAAGCACTTAAATTCAGGTCCAGTGAGCAAAATGTGAAGGGAAACAATTGAAGAAATACTCTGTTAATAAGAAAATGTCCAGCGAGAGATTACATTCATGACACATTTAACTATGAGCAACCAACAGATTTGGGGAAAAATAATTTTGCACAAATCTCTTTTGGTCCCTCCCTCCCTCTCTCCTTCACTGCCAGCAGCAACTCTCTGCATTTATTTCCTACCTCAATTGACCTCCAACTCTATCTCCTCAAAGCCTGGGTAGGCTATTTTTTTCCTCCCTTCATTTCCTTCACTTATTTTCTTTTTCTACAAACAATTCCACCCCCATCAGTGTAAATTAAGCATCTTATCTGAGGTCCTCTTGACTGCCCCCAACCATTACCCCGATCTGCCCAACAATGGCTTAGATAGGAACCCAGTGGGCAAAGGCAGGGCTCTCCTGGAGGAGATGGGAAGAAGGGGAGGGACTGACTAAAACTGTAACTGTTTCTCAAGTAATATTTTGTCCCTGTTAATATCTATCTACTGGTAGGCAAAAGAAACCAGAAAAATAGTAAGACCAAGGATGGAAGAAAAAAGTAGGGAGCTCATCCTTGAATCTTTCCATTGCTTCTATTAAATTGTTCAAGCTTTGTTGAAAATGGAATAGCTGAGCTGACTCGTCATGATCCCTTGGGTTCCAGTGGTACTGTCTCACTTCATGCCCTCCCTGCTGTGCAGAATGAAAGTAAACAGCCGGCCAATGGGAGACTAACTACACTGTGGAAAGTAATTACAGATGTTGCACCTGGGGTTGTAGACTTTTTGCAGGGAAACTCAGGATAAATTGTATTCATTGTGCCAAAATTCTAGGCCCCCGAGCACAAGTTATAAAAGGGATTTTCCTTTACTGATGGTAAAATGAATATCTCCTCATTGTTTTAACTACAATTGCAACTAATTGGCCAATAGTTGTAATAATCAAAATAATATCTGTTATGTACTGAGCAGTTTCTGTGAGTCATTGTTCGAGTTACCTATTGCTGCATAACAAATCACTCCCAAAGTTTATAGTTCAGATCAACAATCAATTATCTTTCAGGGTTCTAAGCAGTCTTTATTGGGGGTCTGTCATGCAGCTGCAGTTGGGTAACAACCTCAGCAGGACGCATCTGAAGGCTAGACCCCCTGGAAGTTAAAAAGTGGAGCACTAAGCCCTGGGGATGCAGCTCAGGGAGAAAGTGCTTGCCTACTATGCACAAGGCTCTGGGTTCGATCCCCAGCAATGCAAAAACAATGGAGCACAGTAAAGATGGTTGTTAAATATTTTGCAGTATATTGCTAGGATTCTTCCAGTACGGTATCTAACTTCCCAGAAGAAGCATCCCAAAGAAAGTGTGTCAAAAGAAAGGATGCAGAAATGTCCAGTTCTCTTAGAACTTAATCTCACAATTGGCAGTGTCATTACTTCCAGATTCTACTATACTAAGCCAGTAATGGTGAAATTTTAGAGGTGGGTGCCAAAACTGCAACCCCAAACCCGCAAAGTGCCTACACTGCAATGAAACTTGAATACTGAAGTTTTACTTTAGAAAAAAAAACAACTCATATAGTAACATCTTCTGTCTAAAAAGAAAAACAACACATGAGCCAAAGGTTCACCACTACTGTACTAAGCAGTCACAAGCCAGCCCCAACTGACAAAGAGGGAATGAGTTGATGTTTAGCGTTTTAGAGATCAGATTCAATAGCCAGGCATTATACAGGCATTTTTCCATTCATGCCTCACAATAGCCCTATGTCAGTGGTGGTGAACCTCTGGCATGTGTGCCACAGCCAGCTGATTGCTATCATTGAAAGCTCTAAAAGCTTCAGTATCACTGCCCTATGTGATGAACACTTATATATTATCCCCTTTGTTCAAATGAAGAAATTAAGACACTAAGAAATTCTAATCCACTCTGATTCCAAAGTTTGAGTTCTTCAAAAACATTTTTACTGCATGCCTTCATGTATTTTCTCCATTTTCCAGGGGCTGGAATGACAGCTCCTTGCTGTCCTTCTATTTGACTTTCTGGGGATGGAACCCAGGACTGGTTTGCATACTAGACACAGACTTCATCACTGAGCTACCCCACCTCACCCCATCATTCATTCTTCATTCCTCACTCTCCTGCCCTGATGGTGCGATGCACACAGACAGGAAAGAAGTGTTTTGTAAAGGCTTAGGCGACTTCCTTAGAGCTTGGTACATCTTCAATAGGTGGGTAGTGAAAGTTGAACGCAACAAAGAACTCAAAGAACTTTGAGATAAGTGTATCATTGTAAACCTTGTGGCATTAAAGAGTTAAGAAAAATGATCATCTAAGTAAGAGAACTGAGGAGGTTTTCTCCAACCAAGATATCTATCTAATGCTTGTCAGCAAGATTAAAAATGAAATAAAATAAATTATTTCTGCATGAATACATTTTTATTTCCTTCACAATGTACTCATTATTTGTTAAGCTCATAACTTACAAGATGAAGCTTCCTCCAAAGCTAACAAACTTGATAGATTACTGTTTTTGTTATATACATTGCAATCACGATCCAACTGTTCTCTTACTACACTGTAGTTTATATATTATATATTACTGCACTTAATATAGACAAGACATATGTTTTCTGCAGTATATCTACATATATTTTTATGGCATCTGTATGTATTATGTATGTATAATATAACTGATAAATTAGTTGTATGTCATTTATTACTATGTATGTTCAGCTATATACATTATAATGACCATCCAACTATTCTGTTACTCCACAGTAATTTATATATATAATTACATGTATTATTGCACATACTCTATACTCTATTATATATAGTATATTTATATAGCATAAAATATTCATGTGTTATATATGTATAATATATAATTGATAGTTTATTTTTATGTTATATTAATATGTATCTTTAGCTATATTCTTCATAGTCACCATCCATCTGTTCTCTTACTCCATGATAGCTTATATATTATATATTATTGTACATACATTATACATACATATAAACATATATATAATATTTTATAAGGCATATGTGTGCATATTTATATACTTTAATATATATAGTGACTTTTTATAGTCAATTTTCTAAAAATCTCAGTGCACAAAACTCACCCAAGTTTCCAGCAGGAAAACTCAATAGTTAATTCTTAGAAGCAGTCTGTATATCCAACAGATGAATGGTATTCATACATAATAGGGTACTACTCTCCAATAAAGAAAGATTTATAGAAAAAAAAAAACTCACCCAAAACAGGGTTTTTGCTGTTATTGTGACTGTTGCTTAACTTTCTCTTCCACAAGAGAAAATTCTGTCAGCTTGACTTTAGAAAATGTGTTACTTGGAAGGAGGAAGGTCAGCAAGAAACACAGACCTCTCCAGGTTGCCACCCGCTCACTGAAAGCTGCGATGCTCCCTACTGCCCTGACGCACGATTTCCAATCCAGGAATCATCAGAGTTGTGCTTGCTTTTCTAATCCTTCTAGATATTCCTTGGCAAGGATCTCAAGTCTTTTATCGTCTGCAAGGAAGACGAGTCTGAGAAGGCAGTTGTGTCCAAGCCAATTCCCTGTCCTTACTGCAAGGTACTAGAGCTCTGACAATCCATTGTTGCTCAGATCCAACCTATGCAGTAGAGCTGTGCCCAAAGAATTGTGCAGAAACTGAAATTCTGTGACGGCAACATATTCGATGTCTGGTGAGGTCCCAGTCCGTGCTTCATAGACAACTATCTTCTCACTATAACCTCACATGGTAAAGGCCAACAAAGCTCCTTCCAGCCGATTTTATAAAGGCATTCATGAAGACTTCACTTCCATCACCTAATAACCTCCCAGAGACCCCATCTCCAAATACCTTCACATTAGGATCAGGAGCATAGAAATCCAGTCTATAGCATATGCTTCACCAAAAAAGATACCCAGGGCACAAGTAAGCTTATGAAGATATTCAACACCATATGTCAACAGGGAGCTACAAATTAAACAACAATGTAATTCCTCTATATACGTGGTAGAATGGCCAAAATGCAAACCCTGACAACATCAAATGCTCGCTAAGATATGAAGCAACAAGAGCTCTCCTTTACCATTGCTGGTAATATAATGGGGTACAATCACTTTGGAAGACAATGTGGCAGTTTCTTACAAAACTAGACATACTTTTATGATATACTTCAGCAAACATACTCCTTGGTGTTGGCCCAAGTGAGTTGAAAACTCACATCTATATGAAAACCTGTACATAGGTGTTTAGAGAGGCTTTAGTCAAAATTTAGAAGTAAACAAGACTGCCTTGAAGTGATCAATGGATAAATAAACTTTGGTATGCACAGACAGCTGGGTAATACTAAATGCAGAAAAGAAATGGGCTATCAAGATGAGGTGGTTTATCAACTGGTAGTCAACTTGTTATACCCAGCTGAAGTGAACTAGTGTGATGTTGGCAGTGAGAGGCCCACCTGAGGATTATTGCCAGCAGCACAAGAGACAGAACTGGAGAAAAGCTGGTATCGACTGTTATGGAAGCTGTTTAGAGAAGCTTTGCGAGCTGCTGGAAGCTGCTGGTTCTCCTAGGCTGTTCTGGTGGATGACCTTGTCATACTGGCTTTCCTGGTGAACTTCATTGTTCTTGTCAGAGGAGGAGCTCGGGACCTCATCGTCACTGAGGATGGCTGCAGTTCATTTTGGGGAGCTCTGGTCCTCACTTTGAGCTTCATTTTGTGGCTTCGGAGGGGCAAGCTAATGCACAGCTCAGACTCCTGGAGAAGCTTGTCGTGTTGCCTTTCCTGATGGGGACTAAGCTTTCCTCATCCTTAGAGGAGCTCAGGACCTCGTTGCTGAGCATGCCTGTGTCACTTTTCAGTGGAACTCTGGTTCTTACCTCGAGCATCGCTTCCTGGCTCCAGTGCAAATCCCTCAGCCTGCTAGCACAGATCCTTCATCCCACTGGCAGACTTTCTAGCTTCCATCACTGACCTTTGGACCTTTCCAGCCCAGATCTGTGAGGTGGGCTTGCGTGATACTTTGTTGTGGGCTCTAGGCCTCCAGCTGGACTTGTAGGAGGCATTGTTAGGAGCTCTAGGTCATCATCAGCTGGACTCATGCAGCATATTAAGATCCAGGCCCTCATTTGGATTCTTTGGCCTTTAGTGTGTGGACAGATTTGCTGCATTCTTTGTATATGATTCTTTGGGTGAGTCACTATAAAACAATCTTACAAAATGTATGCTGTACTATACTGTTTCCCCTTGCAAAAGCCCTAACTGTGACACAAGGTATCACAAGACATAGAAGAACCTGAAATGACTATTACTAAGCACAGGAAGCCAACTGGAAAAACCTATGCCTCCAACTATATGACGTTCTGGAAAATGCAAAAACAGGGAGACCGTACAAAAGATTAGTGATTCCCAGGGTTTGGGGGAAATGAAGTATGACTATGTGGAACACAGAGGTTTTTTAAGCAGTCAAATAATTGTAGATGATATTCAGTGTTGGTGGATACATGCCCTATATATTTGTTCAAACCTCAGAATGTATAGTGAACCCTAACGTAAGCCTTGGAGTCTGGGGGATACTGATGTGTCCATGTAGGTTTACTCATTCTAACAAACATATCACTCTGGTGGGAGTATCAAGAAATATATATGAGAATGCTATCAGATATGTTCAATTTGCTGTGAACCTAAAATTCTGCTAAATAAATAAACCCTATTTAAAAATCAACAAAAGTCAAAACCTTTTAGCTAGACTGACCAACACAAAAAGACAGAAAGCACAAATTACTGAAAGTGAGAATACAGGAGTGATGGTGTATGTGTTGATTGGGAGATGGGTTGCCACCAACCATAACGCTTAAAGGATAGACAATAATATGTATTCACACCAGTGTAGGAAAATTAGAACCTTCTTACAGAGTTAGCCGTGGAGAAAAACAGTGCCATGTCTGTGGAAAAGTATTCTGAAGTTCCTCCAAAGCTATTCAGAATTACCTATATGACCGAGCAACTCTACTCTGTGATGTTATATATAAAAGAAAAGATTATTTGCATACACAATAATTTGTACATAAGTGTACATAGCCAGGTTGTTAATAATACCCAAAAGGTGGAAAAATGTTGGTGAACAATAGCCAAATGTATTATAGCCATCTGTAGAAAATTAGTCATAAAGAGAAATTAACTGCTGACACATGCTATAACCACATGACAAAAAAATTAGGAAATACCCAGAATATCATGGAAACAGAAAGTAAATTCTTATCTGCCAGGAGATAATGGGAAGGAGAAATGGAAAGACTGCTAAAGAATTAGAGCTTCTTTCTGGAGTGATGAAAACGCCCTGGAATTAATGATGGTATTTACACAACCTAGTGAATATGCTTTAAAAATCCACTTAAAAACAATCCACTGAATATTAAACGAATGATATGTGACTATATCCTTTAAAAAGTTTTAAAAATACATTGAGATACCCATTTTTGCTAATCAAATTTCCCAAGACCCAAAGTCTAAAAACATCTGTTGATGAAGCCATTCTATTTTTAAAAAATGTATTTAGTACAGGGTCTACAGGGTCTCACTATACAGATCAGACTCGTAGTGATCCTCCTGTTTTCAGCCTCCCTAGTGCCGGAATTACAGGCACACGCCACCACACCCAGTCTCAATTGTGATCTCAGCACACCCCAGGGATGGGGCCAGCGCAGCACAACAGGATCGGACCCTAGTCTCTGCATCTGCCTAAGCAGGTGCTTTAATCTGCTGAGCTATCTGGCCAGCCTGATGAAACCACTGTAAAAAGGGAATTTTAATACTTTGCAAATGGGAGTATAAATTGGTACAACTACTACAAAGAGCATTTTTTACAATCATCTGCATTTTTTAAAGTCAAGATTATAATACATATGCGTAGTATATATATATATATATATATATATATATTTTTTTTTTGGGGGGGGGGCAGGACCGGGGATTGAACTCAGGCCCTCGCGCTTGCCAGGGAAGTGCTTACTCCCCTGAGCCATCTCCCCGGCCCAAAGAGCATTTTTTACAACATGAAATGGTATACCCTACTTGCACAAACTTGTGAAATATGTATAACATATTATTACAACAGTGAGTTTTTAGTATTCTCATTTGTAAGTTAAGCAAGTGCCAGCTTCAAAACTACATCCCCAATCCTTCTTATTTTTTAAATTTAAGACAGGGTCTCACTAAGTTGCTAAATTGCCTAGGCTGGTTTGTAACTTTGTTTGGAACTTGTGATTCTCCTGCCTCAGCCTCCTGAATTTTGAGATTATGTGCATGTGCCTCTGTATCTGGCATGGATTTTTATTATCAGCTACTCAGAGAATGCTAGTCTAAAATATTTTACACACCAACAAAATTTTTTTTAATGTTTTACTATTTTCCTGATAATAAAAATATAAATTGATCATAGTTTTATTGCAGTATTTTTAATGAAAGTCCTATTAAAACCTAAATATACATAGGTATCAGCTCAAACAAATGAATTGAAGCATTAGTCAGAGAAGAGATGGGGGACTGGTGGGCAGTTGGTACTCCATGCCTTTGGACAGGGATAAGAAGCCCTGGCATGCTGTTGCACAACAGGGGAGCTATACGAAACAATTACCTACTGTGTCTTTCAAAAAGCTAAATGAAATGATTTTGAATATTTTCACCACAGAGAAATTACAAATGCTTGAGGAGAGAAATATAATCGCCCTGATTTGAGCATTCTGCAATTGCATGGTAGGTACTCTATTAATACATACACCTTTTATGGTTTTGTAAATCTATTAAAATTGATTTAATAAATAAATTATGAGCAAATAAATACATTGGTGGTACACTCATGTAGGATACTGCAATTGGGGAGGAAGCTGTTTCCATAATGATAATAATAACCCCTTCAATATGTTGTCAAGAGAAAAAGGTTAGATGCAGGTCAATGTGTATGGCATGTTCCTGTTTGTACAGAAAAAAGATGGAGAATGTACCTACTTAAGCTCAGAAGTGGGTACTCTGTCAGTGTGGATACTAACTGGATAGCAAGGTCACCTGTGAGAGGGAGATGACTCACCATATGTCCTCTTTGCTTTTTTAAACATTGAGCAATATAAAGTATTGCCTATTAAATCTTGTAAAAACTAAAATGAAACATAAAAATTAGTAAAAATTTATGAAATAAAACAAAATTCCCGATAGTCTTAATTTTTCATGCCTCCCATCAACTCCACCACCATGAACTACTTACATTCTCAAACCAAATTATTATCTGCCTGAATGCTCTCTGGCCTCAGGTCAACTGGGAAATCTAACTGAAGTTTCACTAATGTGTACCAAACAATCTTACCGTCATTTATGGTAATATTAGCGAGATCCACAATCTTATCTGGAAGTCCTTGAAGCAACTTGCATTGCTTAAGCCTTGGTTTTGCCCACTGAGATTTGCCTGTTTGGATGCTGATTGAACTGAAAAAGAGGAAAGGGACAAATTAAAGGCATCAGTATTCTCAAAGAGGAGCCAGGGACCATTTTTTGTGGAAAAAAATATGTATTTTATATAAATGTATATATATCTATATATACTTATATATATATATTTGTATTTATATACAAAATAGTTAGAATAGACATACAGCTACCTTCTATTAGTTCAATGAGAAGAAAGGTCTGTACGAATATTGTTTAGACAAGATATCATGTCTGTGTCTTGTCCTCTGAATAACTACTACGAAGATAACAATATGTAGTGAATTAATTATTGTAACTGTCCTACCAACCTGTTTTGAAACTGTCTCATTGCTATTTCTTTCTCATTAAAATGAATAAAAAATTAAAAAAAAATAAATCCAGATTTTTCTTTAAAAAAAAAACAAAACAGGGGCCCGGAAGATGGCTCAGTGGAATAAGTGCTTCCCTGGCAAGTGCAAGGGCCTGAGTTCAGTCCCCGGTTCCACCCCCCAAAAAAAAGAGAGAAAACACCCAAAAAATAAAAAACAAAGAGGAGCCAGGGAGAGTGTTAAAGCAAGTAGTGAAGGAGTAGCTAGACCTTTCCCAGGCTGCCTCCTTGCTCACAGCCAGCGCCCTTCCCAGAAAATATAGATGGCAACCCAATCCTTCTGTATAAAGTGAAGAGCACTTCGCTCTAGGGTGACAGTGTGGGGGGATGAGCAAGTAAGAATGCTGGGGAGGGGCACGGCAATGTCCAGCTAACCAAGAGTCAAGGCAGCCACATTGGTCCTCTAGTTGTGAGGTTGGACCCTCAGTTTCCCCTGTTTCTAAGAGGAAATGCCTATTGAAGTGCCATCTCTAGCTCAGCATGTCCAGTTTGTCAAGGTGATCAGTATAGAAACTTGTGGAGCTCATTGGCTTGTATCAATCACCCTCTTGGGGGCCTCATCCTACTTAGCCTAGTGTAAATGAGGAAGCAAGCTCATTGCTCCAGCAACAATGGTAGGCAGCAGGGGAAAACAGGGCAGGTCCCAGCCCTCCCGGAGGAGCTTGCAATTCAGTAGTCTTGCAGTCTAAGTGTAACTTCTCTAAAATTAGACTAACTATGAGGAGAAAATTTCTACAGATAAAACTAAACCTATCAAACCACCAAGCCAGGAGAACTTATTTTCAGAAACAGTTGAACTGAACCTACCACCCAAAGGACAGAGACAGAGGCACCTGTCCCCACCCCACTCTGCCTCCTCTCCAAGCTGAACAAACTTCATGAGCAGAGCCAGTGAGCCTGGAATAACAAATGGTCTTTGGGGCTATAGCATAAGGTAAAGGAAGAAATCCAGACAGCAGGACAGAGGTTCTGCAGCATTCAAAACTATATTCTGGGGTTCAGGCTTCATTCTTGAGGAGATGAATGATGAGGTGGTATCTAGCGCCTCGGAAAATCATGCTGGCAACAGTATGTAATAGATGGGGGTAGCGGACGGGCAGAAGGCAAAATGACTGCTTTAATAGTAGACAAGGACCAGTAAGGCGCCTGCGCCAGGCAATGGAATTGGAAGAGAGGCTCTATGTGAGAGCTGTCGCTGCAGCTGCCAAGGCTGCCTGCCTTGTCGGCTGATTAGGTGCAGGCAGGGAAAGGTGGGAGGCAATCGGGATGTGGCTTTGTAAAAGAGCCCTTTGAAAACCTGGGGCCTTCTGCTCTAGCCCACTTAAGTTAATGGCATAAACCATTAACAGCAAGAGTAAGAAGAAAGGGCTGATGATTTGAAAAAGGAAAATGATAAATTCAACAATAGAAGAATGATTTAGTAAATTATTATGGCCCACCAACACGATAGCATCTGAAGTGATTTTCAAAATGATCATTAAGAAGATGAATGTAAAACATGGAAAATGTTTGATAAACCATTGAGTGAAAGGGTAAATTACATTATGGGTATGAGAACTGTGACTGCCATTGCAGAAAACTTAAAAGCCCACAGACAAAGGTTAGACCAGGAAAAAATGCCAGCCTCAAAACAACTGTGTTCACGTGATGCAATTAGGGGTGAATTTTTCCTTTCACTTTCTTGAGTTTTTTTCTTACTATGTTGCATGTATATGTTTAAGTTCAAACGGTGAAAGACTAGCAGGAGAGATAGAAGGGAGGGAGTGTGACCACACAAATGACATTGGCTCATGCCTCCAAAGACTAAGCTGATCTCTCTGTATGTGAACTAGCAATTAGAAGTTGGCCAGTACATACCAGATTCTAGTGGCGTTTCCATCCTCATTTTTTATGCATCTAGTTTGGGCTGTCTCAGTAGGGTTGGTTAATAGCCACTTATATGTCCCTTTGTATTTGGAGGGTGTTTCATCGGCTTTGCACTTTCCTGGCTCTACAGAGAAAATGTATGCATATTTTCAAGGGCAAAAGACACTTAAAATATCATGAATATCCATTATAGACCCATCATTATCAAATTGCAAACAAACATCAGCAAATAAAAGAGGAAACTATTTCCAACAGACAATTTAAACAAGGCTTTGTGGAAAATAGCTTTTAAAAGTCTCTTTGTTTAAATAAGCCACACAGTATAACCACAATGTTAGTGCTTTTCATTAAAATCACCAGTTGACAGGAGAGTTTTGTTTTGTTTTGTTTTAATTGTATACATTCTTTCAGGAAAATTCCAAGCCCCAAAGCAGTGCTAGAGTAAAACATTAGAGCATGCCTGTTGTCCTTCCAAAGTACTGATTGTTATCCATGTTATGTGCAAATTCAGGAGATGCAAGGTCCCCTTCTCCCCCCTGGATGACCACCTCCTGTTTTAATGGTCTCTGGGATGACTCTGGCTTCAGTAAATTCAGTGTACCTGCCATGACCAATATAGACAGGGAAGCTCTATTTCTGATGTTGGTGCTGAAGAACTGGCTGGTAGGCCGAGGTTGTGATGTGGGGCATTGTCACACTGCAGGAGAGCCACTCTAGGCTAAATCTGTGTGCTAACTTGCCAGTTTAGCTGAGCACCCAGTGAGTGTGTGAACCTGATCCTGAAAATCCCATTCTCAGGTGTTGACAGAGCAGCTCAAGAAGGAGCCCAGCCATCCCAGTCTCCTTTGTGGACAAGAATGAGAGGTCCCTTCTTCCAACTCTCAGAACACATTTATTGGCATCATCTATGTGACGCGCTCTGCCTGTGCCTTCCACACTTGTCTCCCTTCATCCCACTCTCATGCTCATGCAGCCTCAGCCTGCCCTCTGCTTCTTAACTAGCTTGCTGCCAAGGATTGTGTTAGGAATGCCTCTGGGTATTGTCTGGACTTAGTCCAAGTGGGGAAAAAGAAGAAAGCTGGCAGCAATACGAAGGAGTGAAGTGGCCCAGTAGCCCACTTTTCTCTTTTACCATTAATGCCTTTCTAATCAGAATAGAAAATGCTCATGGGAGAAATCTAGGATGGTTCTACATTACTTGCCAAGATAAATAGGATGGTTGAATCAATCAATTACTTAGGAATGATTAGGCATCTATCTTGTGTAATAAGGAAGCTTGCCAGCTCTTTAGGTATTTATGCAAGAGACGCAATTCCCCAAGTCTGTGGATGAACTTGCCATTGCTAACAGGTAATAACCACAGCTGGCCAGCAGCCTCTTGTAAACTCTCCGACCCTGTTCTTCCATGAGCCCTTGAAAGCAGAAAGGTTATCAACACAATAGTACCTGTGGGCGTGGAAAGGATCATCAAGATGACTTCTCTTCCCTCTGAACATAGAATTCCTAAGTATGAATGCACTATAAGTTTAAAATAACATAAGTGAATTCATACTGAAGTACCCCACCAGAGTAATTACCTAGCTTTTTCACTACAACATGGTCAGACTTTACCAATAACACCAATTCATCTTGTGTGAAGTTTCCATGTGTGAGGTTTCCATATATTTTATTTCTGATCCTGCTGATCAATTCCGTGGGTTCCAAAGAGGAGCTGGCCTTTATTATAACCTGACAAGCACAGCTAAGAGAAGTAGGACAGAAAAGAAAATATTGCAGTTATATCAACAGAATGCAACTTGACCTAAACTTCTGAAATTCTGTACTATTGCCTGAACTGGTAGTCCATAGAGGTACAAAATGATATGCTATTAAGAGGCAAGTCTGAGGAAATGATTAAAGACAGCTTTTTAGATCTTCTGATGAATTCTCTTGTACCCAAATTGGACATCTCAAAACCTGTTTTCAAAAGAATGATCAGAAACCTTTGTGTTATGTTGAACTGATTAGCTATAAGACTTCACTGGGAGTTTGTAATAATTAACAGAGAATTTGGAGTATTCAGGATTTATTATTGCAGGGAAAATCTTTTATCCTCTGGTCTCCAATTTCTTCATCATCACTACAATAAGGGAAATAGGCACATGCTCAATTAGTCTATAAAGATGTGTTCTGCAGAAGGCTTATTTCTATAATAGAACACTAATGATGATAATGATAGCTGCCATTTGTGGGGCTCTTGTTCCGCATGTTCTGATTCATTAGTGCTCCTGCTCCCATGCTACAGAAGAGGGAAGTGAACGTAGCAAGATGTGACCCACCCAATATTTCTATCACTAAAAGCTATGTTATAAAAGAATGGAGCCACCCTTAACCTCAACCTCTGTAGTGAAGTCCTTAATAGTCTAAATTCCTCTAATATTCGTTAGGAAAAAGCTTCCAGATTCACAAACTTACCCATATCTTCTTTCTGTTTCTATTTGTATATGCAGCTTTTTGAAGAACACAATTGCATTTTCTGCCAGTTGTTTAAAGTTAGAGATCCTTACTTAAAACTTCCCTCTATATCCAATTCAAATACTTCTGTCCTCTCACCTGATCTGTATATGGTGAATTCAGTTCCTGCCCATTCTTAATCATTACTACCCATTCCGTTGGGAACCTATCTCTTCTCAGCTTTTGAATTTCCAATCTAAAGAGAACCTCTTTTTAAACCTCTCCTCTTGCTTACAGCAGAACCTCTATCCCAGCACCATGAGCTCTCAGTGATCTCTTCAGGAGACTTCTCTTGTAATATGGTAAGTCTTTTATAGTGTACACAGCCAGATCAACAATAACCAGTTTTCAAGGAAGAGCTGGGCTACAAGTCTCAACAGGACAAGGGATGTTTTCCATGCTGTTTTGTCGTTTTCAATTTCTCTGCTCAGTATTTCATGGGCTTTATTGGTCACAGCAAACACTTTATTGCCCTATCCCTAAATTATAACCACTTTGGATCCCATTTTCTTTACACTACAAAGAGGCAACAGGCGGGCTGCCAGGCTATGTTGTGACCAACTGAAACAACTTACTTCATGAAGGCAAGAGACTAATTACAGTGTCTGTAAAATAACCACCAGGAGCTTTGATCTCTGTCTAACAACTCTGACCAACAGGCTGCACATACAGAATTAAATGGGAAGAAAGTCAGAACTAAATGTACCAGCTGTGAATAAACCCAGCTCCTACCTGTATGGTACATGGGAAATTGTAGCCATTGCTTGCCCTTCTCTCCGTTCCAACTGATGCAAGAGAAAAGGATACAGTCATTGAAATATTTAAACAAATGTCAAAATTAAGTGCAGAGCTTTTTGTGAACAACAACCATAATTATACTTTATACTTATGTAACCCATTGTAATCTGCAAACCACCTCCAAAAACATCAATGCATTTAGTCTGCTCTCTGAGCCTGTAGGATGGGCAATATAAGGATTGCCACCCCATTTTCTAGCCAAGGCTTAAGGAAGTTAAATGATCTCCCCAACAGGATATGACTGATGAATTCCAGAACTGGGAGCAGAATTTAAGCAGTTCGGGTATGAGTGGTAACACGGTAGTAGCAATAAAAAAAGTGAAACATTTAATGTTCCTGAACTATGTGCTAAGCACTTACCATAAAGTGTCTCATTCTATCCTTGTCACTGAACTCATTTCTCAAATGAATAAGTTGCAGCAAGGCTCAGGAAGTGCAGGAACAGGGCTCCTTGACCAGATTATGACCACAAAACTCATAATCATTTTATTTGAGAGAAATGTTATCTACAATGTGTTAAACTTCAAATTTCTGACAGTATTTACAGGAAATACTTTATTTTTTTCCACAACTTTATTGAGAAATAAATAGCAATGAGAGAGTCTCAAATCAAATTGGTAGGACAGTTTCAATAATTAACACATTGCATACATTCTTCCTAGTGGTTAATTGCTGTACAAGATGAGGACATGATATCCTATTTACAAACACCATTAGAACAAATCCCTCTATTCATTAAGAGAATGTAAGTGCAAATCTATCCTAACCACTTTGAATACACAGATACAAAATGGACATTCATCTGTATACCCTTTTTTTGTTAAGTTCTGTTATTTGAATATTATAGGTGTGTAAACTCAGCAAAATATTCTATAAGAGTCCAGTAGCCCATAATAGTATTGGGTCTTCTGCTTGACAGGCAATGTCAGAAATTGTTGACCTGAGTCCTCTACAGCTCAGCATAACAGCATGACTTTACTTCTTATATTTTGTTTCTATACTTTTCTTCTGGATGGTTAAGACCAAGGTAAAGCAGGACCTATACAGCAAGAGTTGTAGCTTTTGGGTCTGATAAGGTCAGTGAAATCCCCTCAGGATTTATCCTGAGATCCTGTACCTCAGATTGTAGAACCTTTGTCAGTGTCAGCCATGTGAATGAGTCACAGCCATTGCTTGGCCAATGTGCTTTCTGTGAAAGCCTGAGAGAATGTTTTCTCTCCATGTGACTCTCCTTAGGTACATTCTACATCATAGTAAATACATTAAATGATGGTAGATAATTTGAAATTCATGTAGGTTTGATTATATTTTGTATCCTCAAAATATTTATCTCCTATTTAAATATCTTAAAAGCTATGTGCTTTCTAATCGTTTTAGACTGCACCATTTTAAAGGTAAGAGGCACTGGAATATGAAGATTTGGAACAAGGATGATGGGAGATAGTTTTGTCACACTCTTACTTCAAATGTCTACAAATAGAGTGCATTTACCTTTGTTACGTGAATACCAGTCTTGCAAACAATTGTCACTCTTGGAAGAGTCAGGTTTATTTACAAGAAATTCCACTCACCATTTTCAATACCCAAGATATTCTCTATGCCTGTAACCCCACAAAATGTGCCTTAGAAACTTGCCACGTGTATAGTTCAAAAAACAGGGCATGGTTTTCATGATGGGGTCTTGTGGCAATCCCAAAAGAAATAATGTAACTTGAACCTTAGCTGTCACTGTGGAACCTTGCCTGATAATATTGTACACACTTGGATAGAAAAGTATTTATTGTGTATCTAATCAGGTATAGGATGAGTTGCAAGTAGATTCATTTTGACAGATTACTTACAATACTCTGGAACAAGGCCATTTCTTCCTTGGAAGTGCCTCTGTATCAAAAGCATCACAAGATTATAGAAAAATGAAATGCAGTGCCAAACATATAGGATACAAAATCAGGATGAATATTGCTAGGGCTTCAATTGGACCCTGGAAATTAGTACAGTCATTATTTGGATACCAAACCAGAGGTAAGCCTTTGACTCAGCAATTCTATAGCCAAGAACCTTGTCACACATGCTAGACAAGGGCTCTACCACTGAGCCACTCCTGACCCTTTACAGGAGTACGTGAAGGTTGATGATAGAAGGTTGTATAAAAATACATATGCAGGAGTAGAAATTACTCGACTGTCCTTTGCTGGATAATTGAACATATATACCATATCATAGCCATAAAAATAAAAAGTATGCAATTAAAATTCACATGCTGGATTTACATGCATTAGCCTGAAAAGATGTACATGATTATAAAACAAGAGCATAAGCTGTTAAACAGTTTGTAGAGTAGGATTCTTTTCTCTTAGTAAATCTAGAAGAATACATAAAATAAGCTATCACAGATTTTTTTAATTTGTTGTTTTTCGAGGCTAGAGATTGAACCCAGCACCTCACACATGCTAGACAAGGGCTCTTCCACTGAGCCACTCCTGACCCTTTACAGGAGTACGTGAAGGGGTGGGCAAGGTGCATTGCTCACATTAAACATTTCAATTTCCCTTTAGAGTTTCCAAGTCCTAGAAGTGCACCATTCAGAAATAGAAAAGGTTCTATCAATCCTCATTATTGGCCATCTGTAGCATTTTATCCCTTCAAAGTGCATTCACCTCCACTCCAAGCCCTCCACACTAGGGGGGATTGAACTTGGAGCCCGAGTCACACAATCAGCCCTTTATTACTTTCTAAAATTTTAAAACAGGACCTCACTAAGTTGTTAGGTTGCTTAGGTTAGCCTAGAGCTTTTGATTGATCCTCCTGCCTCAGCCTACCAAGGTGATAGGATTGTAGGCACCTGCCACCACACCTAGCTAGGGTATGATTTTTTTTAAGTAACAGAATCATGAAATTTTAGACATTAAGAGAACAATAGAGGCTGAGGAGATAGTTCAGTGGTGTAAGTGTCTGTCTGGCAAGTACAAGGTCCCGAGTTAGATCCCCAATACAAAAAAAAAAAAAAAATAGAGATAACTCAGTCTAATTTTACTGCCTCCTCTTAGTTTCTCTTTTTTTCCCCCTCTGTTGGCTTTGTGCCCTAGAGGAATAAGACAAATTTCTTCTTCATTCCAAAGCAAGCTCGTACTCATAAGGAAAGGTGCGCCAGCAAGTGTGGTAGTCCCTAAGTCCCAGGTATAAAGAAAGGAAATCTCCAGACAACAAGGGACTTAGAATGCCCTCAAATTGTGTTTCAACCCGCAAAAGATGTCATTCACATACCTGCTTTTAATTTGGACAGCTAGATTAGCAAGACAAAATTCACTGTCCTCAAATATAAAATTCAGCTGTAAAAAAATAAAGAGAAAAATATCAGTTTCCATATTCCCACTCTTCTATTTTAACTGAACAATGTCCCCCTTGGAACAATATGGTTATTAAGCAGAATTTATTATTGTTTTTGAAATTTTTCAAAAATTCTATCTGTTTCACTCAGTGTTTCAGTTTATATTTTACCCATTGCTATAGACTAAACTATTCCCCCACCCCAATTCAAATGTTGAAACTCTAAGCTACAGTCTAATTATACTGGGAAATACGGTTCTTGGGACAGTAATTAAGATTAAATGAGGCCATAAAGGTGGGACCCAGATTCCATATCACTGGTATTCTTATGAGAGAAGAACGACCAGAGATACACATACACAGCAAAGTACCATGTGAGGACACAGTGAAAAGCTGGCCATGTGTAAGCCAAGGAAAGACATCTCACCAGACATTCAACCCTGCAGGCATCTTTATCCCAGATTTCTACCTAGCAACTTTGTGGGAAAATAAGTGCCTGTTGGTCAAGCCACACCATCTGGGCTATCTTTGTGAGGCAGCCTGAGCAGACTGATATGCACATGCATTTTCAAGCAGTCGTGGTCATGTTCCTTATACTTGAAAATACATGCTGGTGGGGAGAGAGAAAGCCAGTACAATCACCCACTCTTGGATGAAAGGTGCAAGTTGGTAATTCTGTCTGGGAGACCATTTAGTGATAACACTGCTTTTCTGTTTGCTTTCAATTGAGGTGAACTTCACATAATGTAAAATTAATTTTGAAATCTAAAGTTCAGTGACATTTAATGCATTTCAATGTGGTGTATCTATCCCCTTTCTCTGGTGTAAGACTTTGTTTTCTGTTTTCTTTTTGTGTCAATGTAGGGTGGATATTTCTGTTATTTTACATGGGTTATTACAGAGATTTTACATATAAATTATAGAATTCTTCCCTAAAAAATTCCATGCCCATTAAATAATCACTCCCCAGTCTACTCCCATTCCCTGATAACCACTGACCTACTTTCCATTTTTTTATGAGCAGAATATATTTATTGAGAGAAAGAAAACTCCTGTCCAAGAGAGGGGCAGGAGGGGTACCCGAGCAGGTAGTTCCCCTCCTACTTTCCATTTTGTGGATCCATTCTAAGATATACTCTATTAACAATAATAACAAAATATATGATTTTTAAGTCTATATTCCTTCACCTAACATGCTATTTAGAGGTTCAAAGTGTACATTTATAACCTTTGATCCAGCAATTCCAATTCTAAGACTTTATCCTATCAAAATACTCAAATATCCCTAAATTTATCATAAGGGTATTATTTTCAGAATTGTTTAAAAAATAGAGAAAAAAACAGAAGCCATCTAAATGTCTACCAGTGGATGTCTGGGTGTGAAAAAAGCTCAAAACACTATGTTACAACCATACAGTGAAACCCTATGCATCTGTTAAAAATTATGAGGCATGACCTATATTTGACACTATAAATGTGCTCAAATATTCATGGTGAAGGGCTAAAAATGTAGCTCAGTCATAAAGCACCTGCCTAACATGCACAAAGACTTGGAGTCAGTCCCTAGCACCATAAAATGATAATGTTTTAGATGTCAACATGTGAATTTTTCTGAAGTGTATATGTGAGTCTTGTTATCTGAAAGGAACATAAGGATAAATAAAACACTCATTTTGTTGGAAAGAGAGAAAAGTTAAAAAGCAGCAAACAAAGATACTTAAATACAGTGGCATAGGCTTTGTTATCACAGCTCTCCTCTTTTCTCCAAATGGGAAGACTGAGCAAAAACTCAGAATTTGTGTCAATAGAGGGAAATGTATAGACCTAAACAAATGAAAATAACATTTCATAAAAGCTTTCAGCATTGACAGTGAGAAGGAGAGATTGAATAGATCCTTGAAGAGCTGCCTACAGAGTAAATAGGTTTGCAGTGAAAAAAATAAAAATCATTTATCTGTAAAGTGGCTTATCAGTAGAAAAATATAGTTTTAATCTAGTCATGGTTTGTCACATATATTTGCATATACAATAAAAATCCAAAATAGTATGTTACCCAATTTTTCACAAATTCATGTATAACACTGGTAATAGGGACCCTTGACTCTTCATCAAAGACAGAGAATTTCATTTCGATATTGTAGAAGGAAACTGTAATTAAAAATAAGGAGGTTAATTTTATTTATTTAGTTCAAGAAGTTTAACTTTTGTAAATTTGATCAAAACTGCTCTCTGCTTTAAAGCAGTGAAACAGTGATTTCTCATTCCTAAACTTTGTTCAGCACCAAGTTTTTTTTTTTTTTAAAAAAAACAGCACTTTTGGCTCTGCCTTTTAAAATAATTTTGACATTTTCTTGATTTATGCACAGTTAATGGATAAAATATAATCACCCAAATTATCTACTTTTGTTGTTGAACAGATTTCCTGTCCATTCCATGGTAAAGCTGAACACTAACCTCACAAGATCATTTGTTCTAAGAAAATCGCTAGGTTTTTATTTCCTTCCTGTGCCTTCCACTTAGCTTCAAGGTATTCAATCCTCTTGTCTCTCTCCCTCTTGTGTATCCTACAATATTTTTATTCTGGAATGTTAAAAGTTGTAGGAACATGCAAATTTTAAACAACATGGAAAGCAAATACTCCCTGACCATGGATAAGTATTCCAAGCCAGGTTGATGCACGGAGTGGAAAAAGACTGAGCCCTACATAAGAGGAATTCAAATGGCAGAACTGAACATGGTGGCACACTTCTATAATCCCAGCACTCTGAAAGGCTGAGGCAGAAGGATCACAAATAAAAGTCTTGCTTGTCTTAGTGAGACCTTGTCCTGAATAAAATTATTTAAAGAGGCTAAATATATGGTTTAGTATAAAAGCCCTAGATTCAACCCCTCAGTGCAACAAAACCCTTAGGATAGGAGATCTTTTCAGATTTTCTCATATGTAATAAGCATATTCAGGCCTAATACCATACAATTCTCTTATTAATTATCAATTGATGTTCCTAATCTGTTGTCACATATGCAGAGGCAGAGTCAGGACACTGATAACAAAACTAGTGGAAAGAGGTTTAGAAACATCATGTGGAGTGAAAGCATACACTTGGATTATATTTCAGTAAACATAGGGAACACAGCTATGGACTTCTGAGTTTGGACAAGGCACTCATACCTACTGCCCCAAGGAGATTAGAAACACTCACACCATTTTTTATCCTTCTCTGCCTTCAGAGAACTGACCCTTAGAGAACATAGGGCACATTGGTCACATGCATAAAGGAACAGTACCTATGGACTCACTAGCAGTTGGTGAAGTCAGTGCTTTAGTAGTTAGAAAAGAAAACGTGGAGTCCAGCCAGGTTGCCTTAAAAGAGGAAGAGATTAGTGAAGATACAACATCTGTAGAAGAATATGCCAGCCCAGTGGATATGAATGGAGATGGGGCTCGAGCAGTGGTAGATGTAGTAGTGGTTATATTGATAAGGGACTCCAGTGTGGACTTGGGAAGGATTAAAGAAGGTGGAGCTGACGTAGCAGGGATTCTGCTCCATGCAGATGCTTCTGTAGGACTAGGTGGAAGCATGGAACCAAAAGATATAGGATGATCAGATGTAGAGGGCGATACACTCATTCCACTAAAAGATGGAGACTGAAACATAGTACCGGAGTTGCCAGTCAGAATGGCTCTGGAGGTTGTCTTGAGGGATGTGAGATTATCCATTCTGTTATCTGTGACTTGCGTAGACATAGGGAGGGAAGTTGGGGGGCCAGTAGTGCTGCTTCCCAGTGTAGGTGTAGAAGTAATTTTGTTGAGCATGGTGCTTCCAGTAGCAAACGGTAGTTTTGTAAAGTTAGTGAATGCATACATTGGGATCGTGTCAGTAGGAAATGTGGATTTGGACACCTCTGCCATAGAGGACGTTACAGCATGAGGAGCTGTCATCAGCATGGAACCTGAAGGAAGGCTAGATAAAAAAGTTAGCATGGGTGAAGTAGTGGTCATAGAGATTAGAGGATTTGGTGGGACTGTAGTCCTGGGAGTTACATATGTGGTTGTTTTCTCAAGTATGGGTGGCTTATCAGGCCAACTAGTAGGGGTAGACCTTAAAGATGTTGATAATGAAAGGTTCTCAGAAGTCCCCAACGTAGTAAGCATTCCTGATGTGGGACTGGTTGATGCAGCAATAGCATCTTTAGAGACTAGACTAGCAGGAGAGGCTGCCAATGGTGACAAAGTCCCAGGAACAAGGTGTGGTGTCTCTGTTTCCATCTTGTTGGGTATAGGCCTATGAGTAGTGGTAGAAAGTGGAAATTGAGAATCTTCAGCTCTATGTGTTTTCCAGGAAGTCATAAGCAAAGACTGGGTTTTACTTGATGTGATTTTTGTTCCCACACCTGGAAATCCAACCACTTGGGATGTAGGAGAGATCTTTGGAGTTGAAAACCTGGCCTCAGCACCATGAGGTGAATAAAGAAGTGATATCAAAGAGGGTGTAGTTTCACTAGACCGGGTCCATGAAGGATACACAACAGGAATATCCTCAGATGTGGTGCGTTTTGTGAACTCAGTTGTTAAAGAAGTATTTTGTAACAAAGAAATCATCTTTCCTGTATTAGAGGAAAGGTAAGTAGAGGTAGCTTTTATACTTTCTGTGGGTCCAGGTGTGATCTTAGAGTTTGTCCAAGATGGGGAAACCTGAATATTCAAGGTAGTATGAGGATTAGCTAAAGGAGTAGATGAAAGCACTGTTTCAGGGGAAGGGGTTCTAGAATGAGTGTTTGTGAAAGCTGTCGTCCTACCATTGCTCACAGTAGATATGGAGCTGGTAGTAATCCCAGATAATATGCCCAGAGGTGTAGCTTCATCTTCCTGTGGTGACTTCAGAGTTGTTAGCACTGATGGAAAAGATGTTGTCTTTGGAATGGAAGAAGTAGCTTCAGTGTTCTTAGTCCTGAGCAATGGAGAGGCAGTAGTGTTTAAAACTGAGGTCACTGGCCCAGCCATAGTAGTGATTGGAGTGGTTTTCATGGACAGAAAAGTTGCCTCCGTTGGAATGGAAATAGAAGTAGGAGTGATCCTAGAGGACATGTCTGTCATTTCTGAAGTAGTTGAAGCAGAGGAAGCTACTGTGCTTTTGGAGGTCAGCCTGGGATATATCACAGGTGTGACATTCAATGTAGATGCTTGTGTAGTCACAGTCATCCTAGGGGTAGCTGGAGACAGTGAAGTGGAAAATGACTCAATTAGTGTGGAAGTGTCTGAAGAAACTGCTGCAGGTGAGAAAGTAAAGTCACTAACTGGAATTGAAGCTATCTCAGGCATAAGTACAGAAGTGGCTACTGAGGGACTTTTAAAACAACCTGGATACGTTGTTTTGGAAGATTTAGTCATTATTGTTGCCAGAGGGTCAGAAAATGTTTTGAAGGTAAAGGCAGTGACATCACCTGGCAATGTAGACATCTCGGAAATAGGAATTGACATTTCTGCAGGGGTTTCCCTAAGAAGTGTAGGTACATTTGGTACAGAAAGAGTTGTGGTGATCCTGTTATTAGAGACAACTGTAAATTTGGAATTGGATAATCCAGCTGTGGAAGGAGACAAGGATTTAGGGAAAGCTGGTATGCTTTCTGAAATGGAAGAGGTAAACGAAGTCACCTCAGGTGGAGTCTTAAGTGAGGAGAACTGTGAAAGAGTTGAGTTGATGAACTCAGGATTTGATGTGTTGGCTGTCCTGGAAGTTGTATTTACAAAGGAAGCATCCTGGTGAGTCCCAGAGGAGGAATTTGCTATCTTTTCCACAGTCCTGGGTGTATGCATTGAAAGGGCACTTGTGTTTTCCTTTTCAGGAGGCAAAAAGGTGGTTTTTGTTAGAGCTTGTGAAGGGGGAGTTGTTTTCCCAAGACTGTTAGGCATTTCTGAAATGTGAACATCTACTTGGTAATTTGAAGTCAAGGAAGGTGTAGTCCAGGTGCCCTTGGAAGTGGTAGATGTAGTTGAATTCTCATCAGTTGGAGTTTCAAATGGAATCTCTGAAGCTGAGTATGTTTGGTAGCTGGAAACTTCTGTGGTCTCAGAAAATTCTGCATCAGTCATTTCCAAAGATGAAGTACTCTTGGAATAGGAAATAAAAGAATTTTTTGATGGGGACATTTCTGTCACCTCCATAGTTCTAGATGTTTTTCCCAGAGAGATGGTCATCTCATCTTTGGCAGAAGGTAAGGTAGAGATGCCAGTGGCCAATTGAGTGGAGGCTGACATGTTTACGAGATGTGTGGAAGAGTGAGAAATGTAGACATCTGCTGAGGCAATAAGTTTGTTGGAAGAGGTGTGTGAAGGCATTGTTTCAGCAACAGTTGGAGTCTCCGTGGTGCCAATAGCCAAGCTAGCAGCATCTCCACTGCCACTGAAAGTGAACGGAAAGCTAAGAGTAGAGGGAGCTATTTCATCCACTTGTGATATGGGTTGAGTTGCTACCGATGTAGACATAGTTGAGATTGCATGAGTAGAAGACACAGCTGCAGGTTTGGAGCAAACAAGAGTGTGTGTGGATGGAGTTACTGTGTCACCTGACGTGGAGGGAAGTGTGACCTTAGTCTTGGTTGTAATAGGAATGGGGGATCTCAACAAGGGAACTAGAGTTTCTGTCTGAGAGGGAACTGACATGAGTGTCATTGAAGACATCACTGTGGCCTCTGAAGTGGTATTAATTGAATCTGTCTGTGTAGGAATGATATCATTGGTCACAGAAGTTGTTTGACTCAATGGTGGCACTAATGCTGAAGTCATTGTAGCTGATGAAAGATTCACAACATTTAAGGGCATGGATGTGAGAAAATCCATGGCCAGATTGGAAGTTACAGGTATAGTCACCTTAGCTTCACCAGAAACCACCATGGAGGTGGCAGGAGAGACAGTAACTGGCAGGGAGAAGATGTGAGTGATAGGTATATGAGTTGCTGATGAGTGAGAAGCTGCAGTCTTTAGTGACAAGATGGCAGAAGACCAGGACTTAGCTGTCCTGTCTATAGAGGCTCCAATTATCCTCGTGGTGAAAGTGTGAAGGGGTTCAGGGAACATCTTGGTACTCTCAGGAGTGGAAGACAGAGCTAAAGGCCCCTCAGATGTCTCTGAAGTCCAGTGTGTTGGATAGGCGTGGGTTGAATTAAAGTTTTCTGGAGTTCCATTGTATGAATTCGTAGGCATAGTTTTCATCAATGTTGTAGAAATCCAACTCCCTTCAAGCTCAGCAGTTGCAATTTTATTATCCAATGAGGTAGTCAATTTTTCTACACCAGGGAAAGGGGAAAGAGTGACAGAAGCTGTCACTGTTTGTGCTGATTCATCTGTCACTTTCAACACTGTTGGAAACAAGGAAACTTCAGATATTGCTGCTACAGTTGATTTTCCTTTAAGATGATGAGAAGTTGTTTCTTTAGTCATCAAATTATTGTTGGATCTTAGTGTTGTTGCAGATTTTGGTACAGAGACTGTTGTAACACCAGATGCAATTGTGCCATCTGATTCTGTGTGTGTAGACTCAGAAGTGCTTTCCTGGATAGAAAAATTCAGTTTAATGTCAGCATGGGTAGATACTGTATCTACTGGTGAGACAGCTTCCTCCCCTGGTATTGTAGAGAGTTCATTTGCAGCAACCGTGAGTCCAGGGATGGTTTTTAGTAAGGTGGTGAGTTTAAATTGAGGAAGATTGGCTCCAGATGTGGTTCCAGAAATGGAAGAGAAATTACCAAGCCATGGAGATGTCAATGTGGATAAAGTTGTCATATATCTGACTCCAGTGGCATTGCTTTCTGTGGGAAATTCTGGTGGGGTGATAAGATTAGTAGTTGTGGATGAATTTTCTGGGTTAGTAGTACTCACATGGAATGCTGATGTGACATTTTCACTGGACACAAATGTAAGTACAGTAGTAGAGTTAATACGTGTCAGCAGCATCTGGTCAGGCCTCGATGTCCAAGCATTCTCCTCGGAAGAGAGCCAATGGGCCGTTTCATCTGTTAAAGATGTGGGACCTGGTTCAAATGCTTTGACTGTGGGAGCTGATATAGTGGAAATCGAAGTGAACATGTGTTCACCTGCTGGGGGTGTCTTCTGGGTGTATACTGGCCCTGTGATTATAGGGGAGAGTGCAGCTTCAGTCATTTCCTGTGCAAGTGTGATTCCAGGAGTTAAGGTTGGATGTGGACTCTCAGCATCGAAACCTGTCTGTACACTTTGAGTTTCAGTAATTGGAAAGGATTTCATGGGAGAAAGGGCCAAAGAAGAGGTCTCTTGTGGCATAAAAGTAGATACAGCATCCTCCACATGGGATAAAGAGATATTCTGGAAGTTTGTGGATGGCAATTCGGTTTCTGCTGTAATTATGGTAGGTGTGGCCCCAGTAGGCATCATTGAATGAATTGTAAATGCTTTTTCCATATTTGTTGTTGCCAATGTAGATACCGTCTGATTTCTAGGAAACACAGAATCTGCAGAAGCAGCTATGGAGCTAAGCAGAGACTTGGGCGTAAATGCTGATGTAGTCCTAATGCCAGTACTTTTACCTGAAGTCCCTCCTACTATGGACCAAGGTACAGTTCCAGCAGCTGTGGACACTAGAAACTCCTGTTCAGAAGTGGAGATAGGAGATACTGCAATATCAGTAGGTTTGTGTTTTGGCCAAGATGTTGGGGACATGGATGTTGATTCAGTAGTTGCAAATAAAGATGTCATCTTCGTGATGACTGACTGAGATTCAGTGGCTGAAGTTTGAGATGCAATTGAATCCTCACTAAATAAAGATGTGGACAGGAAGTTAGTAGCTGTAGTTGGATGAAAGGTCTTAGTAGCCGTGGATTGCACTATTTCTGTTGGCCTTGTGCTTTCTGAAGATGGAGATTTAGTTATTTGCATGGAATCGGTGGCATTGCATATGGATATGCTCTGGGTAGGTGAAGTCATGGCTGTGGAAGTAGATGACGTGTCTACTGCAAAAGTAGCTGTTTCAGCTATAGATGTTGTTAACATTTTTGATGTAGTTGTTGTTTCCAGAGATGGCACTGTTGCATTGGAGTATGAAATGGTTGCATAATCAGTCACAAATACAGGTAGGCTTTTAGACATCACAGTAGAGTAATGGACAGTCGTTTGTGGTTTTAGTCCAGTAACTTGGGAAGGAGTTGTCAACTCTATTTGTTGTGATAAAGTTGTACTTGTTTCTTGAATTGTCATATTTTCTGAAACAACTGAAAAATCAGAAAGTATGTGTCAATCTGGACTGTGTTCAAAATCAGAGACAATTCTTCAAGAAAGAGCTGTATGATTCCTTTCCATTTTTAAGAGATAAATACCACAGATATAATCAAGTTGCTTGATTACCTAATTTCTCTCAGAGAATGTTTTACTTTATAAATTCTCTATATACTTTTCATTATACTCTGGTTACATAACTAATAAGAGGAAATCCATTTCATAGTAACTTTGCTCAAGATGCAAACATTCCCAAAAGTGAGATTCTATTATGTGTCTCACTTTTAGAATACTATACTCATTTAAGAGGATTAGCTGTAGGAAAGTGACCAATTCTTTAAAAACATAGTATCAAAACTACTTAATAAGAAATAACTGGATGAGTTCTATACCTATGCATGGAATTGAATTGCATAGTTTAGAATCTTCCAAAAAAGATTAGCTTTGAATTCAAACAGGTGTAGTTTTTAATCTTGGCTACATCATTTGCTTATCACATAATACTGTACAGTTACTTAACCTCTTTGTACTTCACAATCCTCCTCTGAAATGTAAGAGTTATAATAACACCTACTTTAAAAAATGGCATGCAACTTAAGTGAATATAAACATATATATGTTATATAATATATATAATTCATATTAAGTGAATATAAGTGTAATTAAATTGAATATAAAATTAAATATATATAATTCAGTGTAATGCCTGGCACAGAGTAAGTGCCCAAAGAACTGTAGGCTGCGAGTTTGTCAATTTCCTATCATTTCTTTTCAAAATTATAGATTGAAAATGTTTTTACCTGAAACTGCAAGATTAAAATTTCTTGAACTCATAGCCTATGGGGTAATATCATACCAAGTATATTATACATTGGAATTATGTACATAGAAATGTTCACAAAAATAGAAATGTCAAAAAAGATGTGATAAAATTAATAGAAGTAGAAATTGTAATATTTTCTTCCTGCATTCCAGCAAATTGTCTGTGTACTCCATGGGGCTGTGTGCATCCTATTTTGAAGACCAGTGCAACCTACCTTATCCTTCCATTTAAGCCAACTAAACTTAACAAGCACCATCAATACAATTCTGCATCCTGTGAGAAATGCATAGATTTATAGCAGGATTATTTTCCTCAAAGAATGTATAATCTTATTGGAAAATATTTATATTGTTGAAATATTTTTTTAAAAAGAGAAAAAATACTTAAAAGAAAAATAACGAAATAATGAAATTTATAATAAAATGAACAACAGAATACAATCGAGCTCCAAATGTCTTCAAAGTGCAATGAGAAATCAGTGCAGTGAAATGGTAAACTGGCTTCAGGCTAGTGAGGAGGCTTTCTTCTAGAAGATGAACACCTTTGAGAAAGGATGGGGTTGGAGTAAAGAAGGCAAGGACACATGGCTGTGAACATGGAGGTAGTCAAAAGACATTCTAGCTGGGAGCGGGAGGGAGTGTGTTGAGTAATGATGACAAGGAATAATAGATTAGGTATGGATCTGAAGGGAAAGCTGGGGACACAGATAAGAGAAGGTAATACAGCTGCTGGTGCATGTTGGGCACTTACTACAAGCCATGCACAGTGCTGGATGCTGTCTCTCCAACTGTGTGATAAAAAAATTACAACTATGCCCATTTTAGGGTTGAAGAAATAGAGTCTCAGAAACTTCACGTATTGTCTATGCTCTAAACCACTACATTATTTGAAAGACTATGGATTCTTGAGCAAGAAGAATGGGCGTAGTCCTTGAGGAAAGTAAGTTTCATGGCAGGGTGCAGGATGGAAAAGAATGGGAAGAAACCAAAGACAAAGAGACTTTGGGATACTGGTAGTATCTTCCTTTGCATTCCTCCAGCAATCCTGGGTCAGCGCTAATGTCCATTTCCTTCATACCCATGCTTGAGCAATCACGTATTGTTGGCCAGTCACACAAAAGGATAAATTAATGTTTCCATAAGTTCATTACCACTAGCCTCAAATAAGCCTTTCTCTCTGCCCAGCCATCCTACTATTTTTCTCTGGTCAATTTGTACTCCTACTCTGCAATAATTCTTTCACACATTCCCCATCCTCAAACTCCACCCCCACATATTTATCAGGCAATCATTCCCTCCTCCTTCAAAGGAAAAAGTAATTGAAATCATCAGATAGAAATTCGACTGTGCTTTAGATCCATCACCTCCTGCACTTTCAGAACCCTTACAACATTCATTATTACCTCCTTTCTCTAATGAGCTTTTCCCTCCTGATTTAAGACATATTCTACTCTTTAAATACAAAACCAAACTCTATATCTCCCTGAAGGTACTTCTACCTCTTTCCTCCAATCACAGCTAAATTCTTCCAAGAAAGTTTATTTGTACTTACTATTACCCCTTTTCTGGCTGCTCCTTCTCTACATCTTTTTAGACTCTATTCTACTGGGCTGACTTTGACCCAGCCTCCTGTTCTCTTCACTCAATCCTTTCTCCATAACTAGGGTTTCATGAATTTACACCTATGCACAAATGAATCTCAAAATTCTATCTCTAGACCAGGTCTCTATTTTGAGTTTCACATTTTGATAACCAAATGCTTCCTTGACTTCCTCTCTTGAATAATCCATCAATATCTCAAAGTCAACATGCCTTAACTGGAATTTGTTATGTATTCTCTCCAAGCCGGATCTTCTTTTGATATTATTTCACTAAATTGCCCCACAGCACATTCAATTATACAAACCAAAGCCTTCACTCTCTACCTGTCTTCTCTATTCTTTCACTCATCTGTCACAGCTAACGCATAATCTTGTCTGATGAAAATTACTTCTATGCATCTCTTGACCCTATCAATTTCTCTCCCCCTCAATCCCTTACCACCCTGACTGAGCCACATTTATCTTCCACCCAGACTATTGCAGTAGCCTCCCAATTCAACTGTCTGTCACTACTCTTGACTCCCTCCAATCTGTTTCATTACATAAACAGAATCATGTTTAAGACACAAATGTGCAATATAAAAACCATTTTTAATTTTTTGTTCTTGTTTTGAAATTATACACCATTTTATTGTTCCATGTCTTTGTTCCTGTAATTTGTTTTTGTTATTTCCTCTTTAAAATCAAAAATAAAATGCAACTCTGACCCTCTCTCTCTCTGTCTCTCTCTCTGTCTCTCTCTCTGTCTCTCTCTGTCTCT